TGTGACCTGCTGGGCACTTAAAGAATACATTTTTGTGACACCAGTGTGCCCATCACCATTTTCTACTCCAACTTCAATAAGCCTAGACTATTAAGTCATCTAGTCAGAAATTACTCCTAGTGCCCTGTTTCCTGGAGTAAAGGTAGCAGAAGCCAGGAGGTGCTACTTTTTATTAGCAGCACAGGTTCTTTGGAGAGTCTCGTAGTGGAGATTGGGTTGGCATCAATTGCTGCCTGCATTCAGAATGATGCTGAAGAACAAGATCTATCCCTAGAGAGCCTTCTAACTAAATCAGGCCATCTTCTGTTTTATTTTTCCTGAGTTGTTATTTTACTATGGAGTTTTGATTTTATGTCTTTTTATGTCTCCTGTGGATGGTTTGAAAAGTTTTTTATAACTTGTAAGGTGCTGAGAATCAAATTGATTGTAGCAAGATACAAATGCAATAAATAAATGAATAAACAGTCTTTTGGTGCTTTTGAGACTCTCTGCCCCGCTCTTGTTATTTTTAGATTCTTTTACTTTGGAAAAATGGAAGAATGGCGTGTGGTTAACAAAAAAAAGCCCTTCAGACATTCTTTATAAAGGATGTCTGTCTGTGTCACGTAGGCCCTATAAAAATAATAGTAAGGTGCAACTCAGCACTTTTAGAAATGTTCCATATGCCTAGAAAAAGTAAATGGGAAAGCTGAGATGATAGAGGGTATCCTGGGAGACTAAAAAGGAGATGATAGGGAACAACTCCAACAGTTTGTCTTCTGATAAATGGGAGTTTTATTATAGGGCACAGCATAACGGATGCTGCTTTGTGGGATTTTCCATAACATATTCTCAAAATTCCAAACGAGCTTCCAAAAATGCGAGGACTCCTGTTCTGGATAGAGAGATTTTTGAGCAACTAATGTGATGCTCCATGCTTAACATTTTGTCAGTCTTTCAGGGTAGGGCAAATCAAGAAACAAGCACAGCAGGGATTCCAGGAATGCTCTTTATTATAGTAAGGTAGAATAACAAAATCCTGGAAGCTCCTCTCTGTCCCATCGTATCTTAAACAAAATCAGTGCAAGGTTATTTTGCATTTCTTTCTCATGCTTCCCTCTGTCTCAGGACTGTACAATCTCTTCTCCAAGTCTCCCCTCAGTGTCTCTCTCGTACCTTCTGTGGGATCAAAACGCAGGACACAAATGCAGAATAATCAAGGCTTCACTGCATGTGTTTATTGAGCATACGTACTGGAGGGGGACCCCACCAGAAGTTAGTGGGAGGCTCTCCCCTACAGGCAAAATAGATGCTCTGATATTTATACAGTTCTACAAGAAGGGGAGGGGAAAAAGAACATATATGTATACACATACATATTCATATGATGATGCAGCCATAACTAAATAAGCAGTAGTTCTCAAGTTACTCTCTGCCCCTCTGTTATCTGCTAGTAAAACAATAGTGTTACAGAGAAGAGGACACAAATTAGTTCAAGGTGCCAAATGCCAGGAAGAAGGCATCCTCCCTCAGGGCAGATGCCCAGGTTGCTATGGGGATGTTTGTGATAAGACACAAATTAGTTCAAGGTGCCAAATGCCAGGAAGAAGGCATCCTCCCTCAGGGCAGATGCCCAGGTTGCTATGGGGATGTTTGTGATAAGACACAAATTAGTTCAAGGTGCCAAATGCCAGGAAGAAGGCATCCTCCCTCAGGGCAGATGCCCAGGTTGCTATGGGGATGTTTGTGATAAGGAGTTTACAACCGGCCTGGTTCACATCAGCTTCAAGGATGCTTCCACATGCCTTTATGTTTCAATCTTATTAAGGCGATCCCATTCATCTGAGGCCTCTAAAAACTTTTTCACCCAAAGATTCATTTTTCTCACACTTCCCTAGATCCACTATAAATTCCTTTACATGTTTGCTTAGTGGCCCCTAATTTGAACAGGTCTGTTCATTAATTTTAATAATAGCTGGCTAATAGCTTAGCATGAATACAATACTTACAGGCACCTTAAGAAAGTTTAATGGGCTGTGAGAATAACCTTGAGAGACGGGGGAAGAGCTGCAGTTTAGACAACTGTCTCATAAGAGAAATCTGAGTCCAAAGCAGGAATGGGGGTGGAGAAAGCATATCAAGATTGGCCCTCCCTAGTTCTCTGGAACGTAAAGGTAGGGGAGGGGGGAAGCGCTTTGCAAGATTTATGTCTGCCCTTCAAAGTAGTCCAGACCAGGAAATGAAAACCAAGAATCCTAATATTACCTTTATTGTAAGGCTATGGTAACAGAACCTTGCCAGTCTGAAAGCGCTTCCCCCCTCCTCTGCCTTTACGTTCCAGAGAACTAGGGAGAGTCAATTCTTCATGCTTTCTCTATCCCCATTCCTGCTTTAGACAGATTTCTCTTATCAGACAGTTGTCTAAGCTGCGGCTTTTCCCCCTGTCTCCCAAGGTTATTCTCACAGTCAATTACAGAACACGCTAGTTAAAAAATGGCTGCACACAAGGAGGAGATGATGTAGAGATGGGATTAGGTTGCTTTGGGTATTATTCTTATTAAAAAGTGTCTTAAGACTTTGGTGAGATAAATGCTTTGCTATGAAGTGAAAAGAACTTCAATCTTACTCAGTAACAAGCCGCAACAGGTGAATGACACAAACAAATGGGAAGAAGTACAAAGCAACAATATGGGTGGTGTGTTTCATGTATACATTCCAACTATATAGACAATATATAACTCACCGCCTGCCTAACCCTTTTTAACTTCATAATTTGTGTAGTATCTTCTGTGTGATTCTTTGAAACTGGGACCATCTGATTTTATATATCCTTTTTCTCATGATTCTAGCTTACAGTGTGGTAGGGGTATCAGTTTGGAAGCTTCATATTTAACCTTTGCTGAAACACAACCAAATTTTCTTTGTTAGAAAAGGAGCATATGATTATAACCTTGAAAACTGACTAAGTTTTGAAGAGCTGTGAGCTCCCCTCCCCAGCTGGCCTTTTAGAAAGGCTGCCAAAATACCACAGACTTTTCAAGTCAACAATAAGTCTCACAAGCAGACCTATTTCTGTGATGTTTCCTGCTGAGTTTTAAAGCCTAAGAAGCTCAAACAGTATGTATAACTTGGCATCCTCCTGCTACTTATGCTGTGCAACTCAAATTATACATAGCTTGAACTCCTTCTGCCAGTTTTATGCACACCTATGGGACTAATAAACTTGCCGCTCATTAAATTCACCGGTAGCCCCCCTGGAACTGTACAGAAAGTAAACTAATGCCAAAACATTACAGTTATTCTATTCCAGTAATCTGTGTGAAAGCTTTGATGTAAATAATAGTAATCTGACTTTTTCAGAACCATATGTGATCTATACTGGCCATTCTAGGTAGTTTTTTGTGAAATAGTATCATAGTACTTCTTTCAGGGATACAGTTTGAATGTTGTTATACATTGATTATTAGGATATACCCCAGTTCAAGGATGAGTTCCGTTCCCAAGGTCTGTCCTTAAGTCGAAATTGTATGTAAGCTGGAACAGTATTATAGTATAATACTGTATAAGTAGTATTGTGTAATGAACTTGAACCATTGTGCATTTAACTTGAATCATTGTGCATTTAACTTGAATTTTGCTACAGTAGGCTCTGTTCTTAACTATGGGTCATCCTTAAATTGGGTGTTCTTAACTCAGGGACTACCTGTATTAGGAAGGTTGATATCCATGCTGTTCTGAGTCATGTATTTGATTTCTTATTTATGAAGTTCTTTTTGATAGACCAGAATTTTTTTAGGGATTGGATAAAGTGAAGTCAGTTTTCTAGTAACACTTTTCCCATTTTTTAAAAATGTAAGCTCTAGAAACTTGTTTGCCCTGTTTAAATCCTACAATTGTTTTAGATAGGTCTAGAAAGCCTCACCAATGTCATTCCTTCTGCTCTCATTCAGATGAAGATTAGTTTTCTGTTTGATTGTGCTGCTTACCCTTTTATCTGCAAAGAGCCAATGTTCTGAAGGCAGAAATAGGCTGGAAAGATTCCTGTATGACAACCTAGAGAACAACTGCTAGTCAGTGTTGGCAGTTCTGCCCAAAGTGAACCAGTGCTCTGACTAAGTATATGGATGCCAGTATATTGATGTTCTGCTTTCTATATTTGGTGTTCCTAGGCCAGCACAAATAGTTGATCCAAAATGTAAGGTGAGAGCTTTCTTTAAGAGTTATAATATTCAAAAATGTTTGTTCATGGGGAAATGCACGTTCTTGATGCTCTTACAGTGGTCAGAACTAGCTAGTGGTAACTAGGGGGGGGGGTTGGCATAAGAGATACCATGATTCATTAATCAGCTAATCTCCACATGTTGAATAACTATGGACTTTAGTGAAAACAGAGATGTGTCATTGTGCTATAAAGATGGAGTGACTTCCCAGCAATGAACAGTCTTTATTCCTTCTTCCTCAGAGCTTGGTGGTTATTCCTCCTGATATGTTAATATTAGCATTATAGTATGCTGTTTGTTTTGATTCTTGTTTTAAAGCCACCTCCCTTCGCCACATCTAAGAAGAAATATATGTTTGAAAATACAGGAGAAGGGATATTGAGACACCCTTTTGAATATAGAAGCCTGTAGGTGAACTCTACCTTTTGTACCACCTTTGGGCTATTAGAGGGGTTGATCCTTTTGCAAAGAACAATCAATAGAGAATGAGGAATGGATAATATCAAATTTTGGGGTATAATTCTTAATTAACTAGTTTGAATAAATGGGGTCTAATTAATAATGGAAGAAATCTCTGATTTTTGCGATGTTGAAATGATGGTTATGAGTAACTGTAGTGAAGCAACTCCCAAGTCTATCTCCAGGTGGTAGTGAAGAACATGATGTCCAATTTAGTTTTAGCAGAAACAAAGATTTTTGCATTCTATTTTTTTTTAATCCATCCCATAGTAAATACAAAAAGTTTATTACTTTTGTCCTCTCAGTTTAATGGTTTCCTCTTACTTTCTGATTTATAGGATCCGGCATTTTCTTCCATGATTCATGACAAACTACAAGTTCCCAATACTACCCGGAAAGCATGGAATGAGAGAGACAACCGGTGTGACGTGTGTGCCACTCACTTGAATCAGCTGAAGCAGGAGGCTATTCAGATGGTCTTGACACTTGAACAAGCAGCCAATGCTGAACACTGTGATGCTTCTCCTGGCTCTCCTCCTCCCCTTCCCAATATTCCCACCTTGGTGGGCTCTCGACATATGGGCAGTCTGCAACCCAGAGACTGGGCATACTTGTCTGCTCCTTATGCTACTTCCAATTATGCTGGCTTTCTACCTAACAAACTCAGTGGAAAAGTGAACAACATAGGAATCGTTAATGGGATAGAGAAGAAAAATGGTTCCTTGGGACACCAGACAAAGGTCAGTGTACAGATGGCTACCAGTCCCAGCAATGGTAACATCCTGAATTCTGTGGCTATCCAGGCTCATCAGTACCTTGACGGCACCTGGTCCTTGTCAAGAACAAATGGTATTACTCTGTATCCCTATCAAGTAAGTAGTGTTAGAAAAGATTTTCCATCATTGATTCATATCTACAGAGTACTTTGTGGCTTTAAGAAATAACATATGTACTAATTAATTCTGTGATACACTGTCGTGTTATTTAACATAGTATGGTTGATCTCATTTGCAGTAACAGGAATTCAAGCCACTAAAATATAAAAAAACCCCCAACATGCTGCCTTATTTTTGCAGTCTTCAACTCTGTCAACCATTCTGTGGATCACTAAATTAGCAATGCAGATAAAACCAAAGAAGCACATCCTAAGAATATTTAGGATCTTGGTAGTAAACAAAATGAAATTACTATAGTTATGAAATAGATCTTTAGGATGAAGCAGTAGCCTGATCTCAGACACGTTCAATGATATTAAACATGTTTGATAAATACAACTAGTGCTGCAGAGTTCTAAACATAAAGTAGTACTTTCTATGCATGTTGAGTAGCCATTTTTTTCTTGAAAATCTCCAAATAGGGAGAAATGCAAAAGCTGAATCTTTTTTCTTCTCTGCCTAAACAAGCTTTTAGCTATGAATTTCAGCATGTTATAAAGCTATTAAAAGCTTAGGAGCTAAGCTTCTAGAAATGGTAGTGACCTTGAATATACACAAGGTAATTGTAGTCCTTTTGGAGCTTTCTTCCTTCATGTGTCTCCAGCTTCACGAGGGGAGAATGGGACTGCATTCAGTGGTTGGGGTACCAGGGAAGGGACATTCTGAAGGATTTAGTCTCTACACATGATTCAAACCCCTTCAGAATTAGCATTCGAAACCATGTTGAGGAGCCAATGCTTCAAGAGAAGCCTTTGTGGCTGTGGCCTGCCAAGACATGTCAGCAAAGTCAGAAAATGTGGTGTTACTGTTCTTATGTGACTGTAAGTGGATGTGACATCACCTTTAAAGAGCTAGTGTTATTTTGCACTCCCTTTTTGTTTGCTTTACTGATTCTCCATTTCAGTGTAACTAAGACTAAATTACAGTCAGATTAAAACATTCATTGAATAATGGCCGTGTTCTTAACTGCAATATGGTAATTTTGTTACTGTCTGAGATTTTTTTTCCCCATTAAATGTACAAGGAGATCCTTTATCCCAAAACAGCATTGCATAGATGAGCATGGAGATGATCACAGACTGCTGAAACTGTACAGATCAGGCTATTTCTGCTAGCAAGTATTTTTCAGAAATGCTGATCTAATAAGTCAAGGAAAAAATCATCGGATAAAGAGTATTATAAATCTAGCAGTGGGATTCATTGCCCTCTGCATCATCTTTTATCAGTCTGATGTCCTGGAACAAGAGTTACAGGACTGACTAGACTTAATGGCTCCTGAGGTGGGCATCTCCCCATTGCAGTTAGCTTTCTGTTAGATAGCCTGCCAGCCAGAATTGGTTGATTGTTGAAGGTTGAATCTCAATGAAGATGGATCTTATTTTATTCCGTAGACTCTGTGCATCTCAAATAAGAAAAAATCTTGTCTTGGACATGCATCTCAGGGCATCTCGACAAAGAAATCTGCCAAGAGCAGGAGTTCATATTGTTTGGATCCCATGGTCTGGGATTTATAGAACTGTCATATCTCCAACTGCCCCTCTCTGTAGCTGTGCCTTTATTTAACTTCAGCATGTACAGAAAGCTTGGTCCAGGCCTTTAAAATCACAGGAATTGAATAGATGAGGGAGAAGAAATAGTATTTCTTCACTCTGTGCAGGCTGGCCATACCTTGGTAGAATGACGTGGTGCCCTCAGACAACAGGTTTTTGGATGTCATAAAAGGGCAGGAAGTGGTTGCTACTTTATTATAATTGTAATGCCAGGTATTAGAAGAGGTGTTTGTTGCATTTTCTGCCTCATGTGCCTGAGTAACTTGGGATACTGTGCATCTTGACTTAAGTGTATGTGGGGTTGCCATTTGCTGTTTATATTTATTGTAGGTAGTAAAATGTGTAGAGCCAGTACTGTATTAGCAGCTTGTACAACTTTATAGAAGAATGATTATATGACAGTTACAGGTAGTCCTCGTTTAGTGATTGCCTCGTACAGCAACCATTCACAGTTACAATGGTGGTGATGTATAGTGGTGATGAAAACGACGGTGATGAAAAAGTAACTTTGTGACTGATCCTCACATTTTTTTTAGATTTTTTTTTTATCCTGCCTTTATTATTTTTATAAATAACTCAAGGTGGCGAACATGCCTAATACTCCTTCCTCCTCCTATTTTCCCCACAGCAACAACCCTGTGAGGGGAGTTGGGCTGAGGGAGAGTGACTGGCCCAAAGTCACCCAGCTGGCTTTCATGCCTAAGGTGGGACTAGAACTCTTAGTCTCCTGGTTTCTAACCTGGTGCCTTAACCATTAGAGCAAACTGGCTCTCTTTACGACCTTCACAGGTCTGGAAAACAAAGGAAAGCTCAAGTAAGATCATAAGCACAGTCACAGTTCACTTAGTGACTGCTTCGCTTAACAGCCGAGTTGCTGGTCCCAATTGTGGTCGCTAATGAAGATTATCTATACTTACATAAAATGTGTGGATATAGTTATATATGTGTTTGGTGTGTTTGGAACAGGTAAGGTTTAATATTAGATTTCCTGTGTGAATTATTTTATTTGCTGATTGCTGAAAATGAAGTTGTTTTTTAAGATACAGTAGTGGGGTAGGTTGCCTTTTTTCCCCTTTAGTAAATTGGCAATCTTACTGCTTAGACCTAGAATTTGAAAGGATAGGACAAGCGCAGCAGCTTTGCTTCTTATTTGTTAAGAATAGCAGGAATGAAATGTTTCTAATAATGATATCCCATGACTGACTATATTTGGGTTGGACAATCTTATGTTAGCTGGGGATCACATTTAATATTTTTTGATGGCCTGAAGACTGTAATTGGCTAATTAATGACACAAAGTGACTTGTGTTTCCTTCTTCCTCTGAGGGTTTTTGATGCAGTTTGAGGAGGGGATGATGATGATGGTGATGATGATGTCAAGCCTAATTAAGGCTAACATTATAGTTTTCAAATAAGTCTTAATTTATGGAATTGACCAGTTTTCAATGGTTTGAAGATGCTCCAAGAGCCATTAAAACATGTTTTGGGAGACCCCATGCAGTTCTAAGACCTTAGGTTGCCAACCATTGGTATATGTGACAAAAGCAGCAATTTAACTCTGGAAAAATAATACTTTGTTTCTTAAGAAATAGTTTCAGAAACATAATTTTTATATAAAATTTGGAAGTGGGTTTTAAAAAATGAGATCTGATGCATAACCCAAGTACAGTGATAAGATATAGGAAACAAAACTTCTAGTTATATCTGTTAGGTGACTATCACTATATATCAACTTTGGCATCTCTTTATAGAGTGGGAATAATTGTGAAGCAGTCCATAAAATCTGTTTCAGAATATCATGAGGCTATACCAAACAGCTATCCCATTTATCTTATCTAGGGGATAAATGAAGTAATTATCAGAATATTTACATGAGAACTAATGATAAAAATGGGCGGGGGGTTGCTAAAATATAATGGATCCATAAGTCATTTTAGAAAGTTTAGAACTGTATAGATAATTTCTGCAAGAATGGGCCTATGTGAGAGAAATATTGAATTTTTTATTTATCTCTCTTTACTGACATTTTCTTAGTAAGAGAAAGGTTGGAGATCCAGCCTTGGATCCTTTGTTGAAGAAAGACCCTCAAAAGCATGTTTCACACCTGGTGGGGGTGATTTACATTTTCCTACTAGTGCACAAGGAGAATCCTTGTAACCACACATGTCTCTCTGGTGGAATGTATACTGTGACAATAAATTACAGTTGGAGAGACAAAGACCACAGGAACTCTAAAATCTGTTTACTGAGGGGTGGTTCAGTAGTGAACTAATGCTGATGGGTGACCCAGAATAGACAGCTTCCCACTAGCTTGTCCTGCCAAAACTTGAAGTAGTGGTTCAGCCCAGAATGCAGTGCTCTTCCTATGGTTTGGGTGCAGGAAACTTTGAAAGGAAGTAAAGTCAGGATGAACCCCCTATTTTGCCTTTGCCTTTTGCTGATGGTCCTCTGCTTCATACTTGCCCATTGCAGGGATCAGTTGCCCAACTTGTTCTAGCAAACAATCAAGTATCTCCTAGCAGTGGTGGGGCCAGTCTAGGGAGCTTGGTTCTTGAAACTTTGCAACACCTCCCTATGAAATACAGTCTATAATAAGAGAGGTAAAGTGAGAAATAGAGCAGTAAGGGAAGGCACTAGGAGCCATGCTCATTAGACCACCATCTTTGACTGGGAAGGATATTTTTTCCTCCCTCCAACTCACATGTTTGTTTCAATCTTTATAGCCACCCACTTGCTGAGTGATTCTGGCAGCTAACAAGCATCAAAAGCATCAAAAAATACATCCATTATATATATATATAAATAGCCACAAATACTCACATATAGCACATTAACTCACATAGCACAACTTACACATACAGATGGCTCATGTAACATCCTGGCCCGGTGCTTCAAAGCAGAGCCAGGGCTTCAGGGCTTTTCTAAAGAGTCATCCACATCTTGGGGTGGATGCTGTTCCAAAGGGCAGGCACAGGGACAGAAAAGGCATGCTTCCTGGATCTCATGAGATGGCACTGTTTAATAGACAGGACCTGGAGCATGCCAGAGCTGTCAGATCTTATTGGATAGGCAGAGATATTCAAAGATAGGTAGTCCTGCAAGTAGCCAGGCCCTGTGCCATGAGAACTTTATTTTTGGTCCTGCCTTCTAAGACTCAGAAAGATTCTCATTAGATGCTGTTTTGGGCCTGCCTCTTCCCTGCAGTCCACAAATCATCTAATCATCATAGTCCCCAAAGCAATATCCTCAGGACTCTCACACATTCCCTGACATCCAGTCTTTGGTGTATTGAGATGTGGATGGGGAAGAACAGATTTTTATCTGGTCATATTGGGCAATGCAGTCATGGTTGTGAAGCAAGATCAGGTGATTTCATCTGCTGCCACA